ATGTGTTTTTATATGTACGAGTATACATGCATACATGAAAACATACCTACATATCTGCCTACCTACATGCATATATTTTCCAGGATTTCCATGCCATCAGAGGAGTACGCGGCATTAATTAGACATGCAGGCAGGGCGCGACGCCGCAAAGGGCGCCGAGAAAGGGCTATGCCAAAAGCCGTCAGGAGCTTCTATACTGGCCACCCCACCTTGGAGGTATAAGGCCCATAGCTCACGGACAGCTGCAGGGACACAGCCATATGCGCTATTCAGCGCGGCAGAAAAAGCGCAGCCGTCACCGAATTCAGGCTTCTCTGCTTCCCAACCTGTATCCGGGAGTACAAACGGCCGACCTCGGGTCCCGCACCGTAGCGCACATCTACTGTGCACTTTCGCCCACAGCTCACTTGCCTCCGCCCCCTCGAACTGGAGTAGAGTAAGCACCTCGCCGGTGCCATCCTCAGGGCTGGCAGTCATGAAAGGCATCTCGCGGAAGACTGCGATTGCCTCCAGGATCACGTCGTAGGACTCGTCCTCTCATGGAGCGGAGTGACCGTCGGCTTGAAGTAGCCGAACCTCCGTGTCCAAGTAGTCGACGACCTCCAGCTCCTCAGCTCGGTACAGGGCCTTGGTGACGAAGACATTCCCCAGGAGCTCGACGACGTCCTGGTAGGCGCACCACCTGTCCTTGTCGAGGAGCTCCAGGCTGATCTCCCTGTGGTCTTCGGTCTGCACTTCGTCCCAGCGCCATTCCAGAGCCGGTTGTAGAGGGTCCTGGACCTGGCACGACGGTGCCAGTGTGAATTCTTCGTCCGCCCTGGCTTTCCAAGCTCTGCTTCCGAAGCCTGGGGCTGTTTCGGACGCGGTCCTTCCGGTATTGCGGAGTGTGAGCAAGCACGCTGGGGTATCACGTAGGTGGACGGCGAGCCGGGCTTGGGTCCAGTATTGGCGCCCGCAAGAACCACAAACTGTGCCCTTGGCACACCTCCGAAATTGCGCTCTACGCCCATGTGCTTTAAACATGTGAGCTCCGAGGCCTGCTTTGGATTTAAAAGAGCAGGCGCACTGGCGGCAAAACCAGACCGCTTCCGTCCAGTCCAGCCTGGGGAGCCGTTGGCATGCGGTCTTATACATGGCCCACAGCCCGAGAGTCACAAGCTTGTCCTCGCAGGCTCGCTCGTGCATCTTCTGCAGGGCCGCTTTGACACGCCGTTTGAAGCGAGCAGTGGTCCTGTTGATTAGGTGCCACCACTCCGGCCAGTGGGCTTCACCAAGCTCTGGCCAATCATCGTCCTTCTGCCTGATGAGCTTCAGGTCATCCTGGACGGTCTGCAGCCAGCTTCCCTCCGTTTGTAGGGCTGCCCACAGCGTATGCGGGCATGCCTTGACGAGCGACGTAAGGAGCCCCAGGCGGGCCTTTACAGCCTCCAGTTCCAGGCTCCAGCATCCCGTCATCAGATGTACCATTGGTACTGGTACCTTCAGGCAATCCTGGCTGTGCATCTGGGGCATGAGGAGGTGTCGCAGCTGCCTGGAGTAGCCGAGACATAGCTTTGTCCAACTATCCCCCCCAGGGAGCCAGAGGCCGAGGTTGAAAAGGGTCGGGAGGATCGTCGCCTTGAAGAGGCCGGCTCTGGTGCTCAGGGGGATCTCCTTGTTCTGGTAGA